CCTCCCTCCCTCCCTCCCTTCCTCCCTTCCTCCCTTCCTCCCTTCCTTCCTTCCTTCCAGAGTCTTGTTATGCAGTCCAGCCTGGCCTTGAGCTCACAGTGACCCTCCTGCCTCAGTGTTCTGAATGCTGGGATTGCTGGTGTGCATCACCATGCTCAGCTTTATTGCTGAGTTTCTTAAACATTAGCATGCTAAGTTAGACTTTTAAATTATTTATATATATACATATATATATATATTTTCTTAAAATAACTGGATTTGGGTCGTGCTTTCGTGTTCAGTTATTGATATATATTTTTAATTGGGGAGTATGGTTAGGTTGAGTGGATTCAAGCTGTAGGTGTAAAGAGCCATTTGACTAGGAAATTACTTTAGAAAGATGAAGGTATAGCTATATGTGGGAAACTTAATTCTGACTTTGAGTCAGCTTCTGAAATTAACTTTATTTTAATTTTTATTATCACCTCAGTGATAGATGGGGCAAGCTACCATTATCACCTAAACAAAAAACTACGTTTTCCAAGTGGGTACGACCAGAAGACCTCACCAACAATCCTACAATGATATATACTGTGTCCAGTTTTAGCATAAAGCAGGTAAACATTTATTTTGTAAAATACTATATTAAAATTAGCATTTTAAGGAAATTTGAATATGAATTTGAGTTTTTTCTTAGGCTTTTATATATCCAGGTACATAAGAGTAATTGGAAAAATGACTCATTCTGTACATTTTGACTTAAGCTTTGAAATAATTATGTACACGGTATGATCAGAAACGATTGTGAATGTTTACATTTTTAAAAATGTATTACAATAAAAGACATTTTGCTGTTAATCCCTCTCAAAATACTATCTCTCTGTCTTTGAACATACTTATCCCAGCTTTCTTGCCACTTTCTGAAGTCTTTTGTGTCATTAGTTGCATTGTCATGGCTGCTGTGGTGTCCTGAATAGATTCAAAACACTTACCTTTTATAAAAGATCATTTTGACTGAGGAAGAGCCAGAAGTACATGGAGCCAAATGCAGTGAATAAGGTGGATGAGGACATCCTGTAATGAGTTTTTGTTTTGTTTTGTTTTTCAACATTTTATAAAAAGGCCTTTACATCTGTTCCTTTTGAAGGATCTCTCCACTAAGCAGCCACCAGAGTCCATTAGCTGATCTGCTGGGGCAGAAGTTGAGTGGTAGGCATCTGCCTCCCAATACTTCCCCAAGGCTACAGCAAGTATGCTCATGGTCCTCCCTGGTGCCTGAGATGCCTGATGGGGGAGTGAATGCTTTCCTGCTGGTCACAGCAGTGCTCATCCCTCCACAAGGACAGCTGAGTACTGATGTCTCCACTTCTTTCTGTCCACTGTCATCCTGAGGCTACAGTGACCTCTCTGCTGACCCTTATGTAAATGTACTGAAGAAGAGGTGCAGAGCCCCTGCCCCGGGCCCAGCTGAGTGAGGAGCCTACAGGATCCTGGGGCTTTTCAAGAGCTGTCCTCGGGTGGGAGGCTGTAGTAGGCAGCCAGCCAGTGCTGACCTGCACGTGGGCCTTGGTACCCCTGCCTGTGACAGAAATAACAGATGCTGCTGCTCCACAGGATCCGTCAGTACCATGCCCGAGAGCTGTCTCTGGGTCAGTCACTGAGCTGTGTTTTTGGCCTCTGGTACCATCTGGGGATGTACCAAGCTGAACACTGGCGGCCCTCCTGTCTCTGGAGTCCCCAGGTACCTGCCAGGACTACAAGGGTATGGGCCCTAGCACCTGTCAAATGCACTTGGGGACCATAGAACTATGGCCAAAGGTGAGCATGGCTCCTCGTATGTGTTTGTTACCATGGTCCATGGACCAGCTTCCAAGATGCTGCCCTGTGGTTGCTGCAGTTCCCATTGCCAGGAGTCCAGAGATGCTGATGCTCTCCTTAGAAATGTGCTGACATAGAAGCCAGGGGGCAGCCTGGGGGAGCTGTGGCTCCTTTGGCAGGCATTGCAGCAGAGGCTACTACCAGTCTCTGTCAGAGGAAGATGAAGTCTTTAGCTAAGTAGGGAAAGAGCTCCGGAGGAGCTGTGTCCACAGCTTTGGCACCAGGCCCCAAGGTTCATTCAGCTTTGGCAAAAATTAGCGTGGCCCCTTCTTAACGGATTGCTTTTGTCGTGGCCATAAGGACAGTTCAGGGCATTCCAGGAAGAAAGGACAGACGGTGGCAGGCTTGTCTTAGCCTCTGTGCCAGTGCTGGTCCTGGCCTGTCTAGAAGAAGTGGGTGGTGCTCACTGCCACCACCAAGGAGGAATTGGGAGCATATTGTCTTTCCTCGGCAGCCTATTGGTTTCCCATTCCCAGATATTACTGGTGGTGCATAAATGACCAGAGCCATTTGGAATCCAGTGTTTTCTAGCCTTGCTTGGCTTTCTTCTTCAGGATTCCTTTTGTGGTGAATAACCATTTCTGCAGTTCTGTCTGCAGAGACTAGGGTGGGAGGTGTGCAGGTCCCACTTTAAGAAGTGTCCTGAAAGCTTGAGAGCAGAGATGGTGAACCTTTTAGAGCTTTCAGTAATGAACAGCTGGCTGCGGCATGTGTGCCATAGGTCCGACACCACTGCCCTGACTCCTCCAGGACATAGCAAGAGCCTCACAGTGACCCCTGTGGGGATGGGGCTGGGAGAAGGCTAAAGATAGAAGCCTCACAGGGCCCCACCAGTCTGCTCCCAGGAGCTCACTCGGGTATGACCAGTGACTGACTCTGTGGAAGAGCGTGTGGCTGCGGGGCACACCGTAATGTTTTCATGAGCCTGCCTTTCCATTGGTCGGCACTCAGCAACATGGGAGTTTTGATCACACCTTGTAAAGACACTCACAAAAGACGACTTCCCAAAACTGCTTGAGAAAGTGGCAAGCATGATGGGATACTGTGTTTGAAGCAAGGGGAAATATTTTGAGGACGATTAATGGCAATGTGTTTTATACTATAATCGATTTTTAAAATTTAAACACTTTTCAGTTATGCCTTATATAACTGTTTTGACTAGTCACAGATTTTTGTAGATGAAAACCTTGAAAATCTGAATTTCACTTTTGATAAGGGAAATATAAAAGATTGTTATTTAAATATCTAATTATAAGTTAATATCACTGAAATACTTGATTTTTCTAGGATTTGAATAAATGAGTCAGCAGGCTGGCATTTCTCTTTATTATTGAACAGTTGTCAAGATATTTAGCATAAAGCAGATGACAGGTGCAGTGCGTAATGTTGGCTAATGTTGAAATTACATGAATGAAGGAATATATTAATACTTTGTTCTTATTGGCAGACAATCGTATCAGATTGTTCCTTTGTGGCATCATTGGCTATCAGTGCAGCTTATGAGAGACGGTTTAATAAAAAGTTGATTACCAGGTAAAGTTTTGACTTGTCCCTTTAAGCCTTTTTCGTGTACTTGTTTCTTAACTGGAAATTTAAGAACTTAGGCTTTATCTGTGTAGAAAGTGGTGAGAGTCTATTACTAGACTATTACGGCTCTTCTGTAGAGGTTAAGCAGATGATTTATTACTATGGAAAGATGCGCTAAGGCAGTAAGAACATGTGCATGGAATGTATGGAACAAGTATTTTTTAAATAAATGAAGTAAAATCCCATCATATTTATAGTAACTTATAATATGTCTGTTGAGCAATTGAAATGGGTTAGTGTTAATTAAGAAGGGCTGGGCCGGGGATTTAGCTCAGTGGTGCTGACGCCGGCCCCACAAGCGCAAGGACCTGAGTTCGATCCCCAGTACCAAAAAAATTTAAAAAAAGCTGCAGGCATAAAATGCACATGAGATTTTGAAAATGGCACAGGAAATACCTCAAATTTTTGTATTGATTACATGTTGAAATAATAGATTAAATAAAATATTAAAATTAGTTTTACTTTTAAGTTTAATGTGGTTATTGGAAAATATAAAATGGTGTTTATTTTTGTTTGCTAGAACTACTTTAAAATATATTGAAATGTCTGAAATACTTTTTTCGGTTTTTAAGTTATATTAGCTTAAGTCATTGAATGTAAAAATTAAGTATAATTTTTTCATTCAGCTTTTCTGGACTGGTTTTTATTTATTAAACCCTGAGAGTACAAAGATGAATTAGTCTTTAATTTCAGCTATTTCCCATGTAAAAATAATTTTCAGTGTGCTTAATGTGATCCAAATTAATTTAAAAGAAAATTGGTACTGATATTTTTATAAGTATCTGATATTATATATGTGTATATATAATATATATATATTCTATATATGTAATCAGTTTTGGTTAGTGCCTTAGTTATGATTAGTTTAAATGGTCTTCACTTCTTAGGGTCAATGGTAAAACATTATTTTAACCAGCTTAAAATAATCCACTTAGTCGATGATTTATTAAAGTATATAATTAAAAATTGAGCAGTTTTCAGAATATCATGAAATTTATACCCTATTTATGATCTCAGAATACTTTTTGGGATTCATTTCTCTCCTTTTTTGGTACTGGGGATTGAACTCAGGACCTTGCGCTTGCAAGGCAGGCGTTGGCCCCACTGCACTAAATCCTTGGCTCAGAATACTTTTTTAATTATAGTAAATAAGCACTTTGAAGGTGAAATCTTTGTCTAGAGCTACACTAGGAAAATATTCTTGTTTATTTTTATGAAATTGCAGACAATAATGAATGACATATTTAAATATCTCCTGTATTGTAGTTGATTCTGGATATTAATGTTAGTATTTCAATATTTATTTTCCTTACAAAAGCATAATTTATCCTCAGAATAAGGATGGTGAACCAGAGTACAATCCGTGTGGAAAGTATATGGTAAAACTTCACCTCAATGGTGTCCCAAGAAAGGTGAATATTGTCTCCCCTTTACCACTACCCCTCTCTTTCCTTCTCCACTTTTGAGTCGTAAGTGCAATTAAATGTTAGCTGTGTTACAGTGTAGTTGATTTTGAGTCTGTGATCTTAGCACTCTACTACCAGTATCATTTTATGTTAGTAATTGAATATAAAATCCATGACAAGTTCTGATAGGTAATTTTGAACTAGGGACTGCTAATGCTTAAAATAAATTTTAATCTGATCTTAATATTTTTGATTAAAAGGAAATCAGATACACTAAATCTGTTAGGTCAGAAGAGTATATGTGGTTATATCCTGAGATGTAAGAAGCCTTTAAAATTATTAGTTCCTTTGTGAAATACATCCATGGTCGTAAGCTATACTGCTTTAATTTCTTTCAGTACTCTGACCTCTGAGGGTCTTGCCTTGTTAGGATCCGTTAGCACCATCCACTGCCACCCACGTCCCTGAGTCATGCTCAGCATCACATGGGAGTTTGTTAGAATTGCAGGATTTCAGGCTTCATCCTGGACCTACTGAATCAAAATCTTGATTTTAACAAGCTCCTGTGGTGATTCCAGTCTGAAAATCATTGCTCTGTTGCCCAGTTTTAGGGTACACAGAATCATCAGGAGGACTTAGGAAAGCATAGATTGTTGTGCGCCCCCTGCCCCACCAGAGTTTCTGATTCTGTAGGTTTGAGATGAGACCACAATTCGCATTTCTAACAAGTCCATGATGATGCTGGTGCCATTGTCTGGGAACATCCTTTGAGAGCCACTCTAGCTGATTACTTAAGAGCTAAACAAAAATTTTGAGAATGTTTTTCCTGTTCTTCAATAACTTCTTGTTTGAAGAATCTCTCAGAATGCAGTTGTACAATCTTTGTTAGTCTTAGATCAAAAATTCTTATTCCTGTGACTTTCAAATAATTTTCAATATAAGGTTTATACTGTATCTTTGTGGTGCTTGTTTCCTGTTCTGGTATTTTTTTTTTTTTTTTTTTTGGTACCGGGGATCGAACTCAGGAGCTTGTTCTTGCAAGGCAGGCTCGGTGCCACTGAGCTAAGTCCCTGGCCCTGTTTGTTTCATTTTTTTGAGACAGGATCTTACTATGCAGTTCAACCTGGCCTTGAACTCACTGTGTAGCCCATGTTGGCCTCGAACTTGCAGCAATCCTCCTGCCTCAGTCTCCTGAGTGCTAGGATAAGATGCGTGCCACCACTATGCTCAGCTGCTCTGTTGTTTAAATGTGTTTTTTAGCCATAATGTTCTACTTTTACAACTATATATAGCATGGGTCTTTAGGTTTGGATTAAAATGACATTGATCTTAATAGTGAGGCCCTTTGGTAATTATTTTCAACATAATGTACATTCTAGACTCTCTCATAATTTTCATGGTAGTTACATGTAACCAGAGGCTCACCTGACAGGTTAGCTCGTAAGACTGAATAAAGGCATCATATTAAAATCATGAACCTTTTATAATTGATCAGATTCTAGAAGCACAAAACTGTCATCATAATAATAGGCTATTATGCTTTTTATCAGTATGAATTGTGGTTTTTTTCCCCCTTGACAAGATTTTAAAGTACTCTTTCACCTAAAGAAATTAATTTTCTCTTTCTTCAGGTGATAATTGATGACCAGTTGCCTGTTGATCATAAGGGAGAACTGCTGTGTTCTTATTCCAACAATAAAAGTGAATTATGGGTGTCTCTTATAGAAAAGGCATACATGAAAGTGATGGGAGGCTATGATTTCCCAGGATCCAACTCGGTAAGTAATAGGTGGTATGATGGAGACACTGACTTATGCTAATACAAAGTACATTAAACTTGAAAGTTATAATAGATACTACTACTGGTTTTGTTTATGGGTAAACAGCAGATTATCAGTCCTTGAGAAATATTGACTAGTCCCCTTATTATGGGAGTACATATTTTCTTGTGTAAGGGCAGTGTATTGTGTGATTCTATGTCCAAGAAATCTCTAAAATGTATGTATCTGCTGTTACGTTGCAATACAGAGCCAATTAATTGTGGTGTACCTTTTCAGAGCAGCCTGTTCAGATCAAAAGATATAGTGATACTCTTAGGTATATTTTGATTTCTAAATTTAGGTTCAAGGAGTTGTTTTCTCCAGCCTTAATATAACCTGTAAAGCTGAGCTCTGCATGCCAGTGTCCTTTTAGTTGCATGAGGTAAACTAATTGATTTAACATGACTTTAAATTGCCATTGACGAGCCTTTTGCCTTATAAAAGGTATTTACCTTTCTCAGCTTGTGTGTCTAAAATATAAGGGTAATATCCACCTCCCAGGGTTTGTACAGAGTAAATGAAGTACTATTTGCAAATCCTCCATCATTCATACCTGATTGGTTTCCCTGCCTAATGCCAGGCCCCCTTCACTCTTCAGGATCTTTTTTTTTTTTTTTTTTTTTGGTACCAGGGATCGAACTCAGGTCCTTGTGCTTGCGCAGCAGGCAGCAAAACCGCTGAGCTAAATCCCCGGCCCTCTTCAGGATCTTATAATGCTAGGCAATATTATAAAGGTCATAGCTAAATGCAGTGGAAAGTGATTTTCTTCCTAGCCTGTACGTTGTTGGTTTAGCTTTCTAATTCATTGCCTGTTAATTTATCCACCAGCTGAAAGAAAGGTAATATATGCAAAATATTAGAAGTGATTATCATATTATAAGGATTCAGTGGTAACTTACCATCAAAGCAGTTTTTTTTTTGTTAAATATCTTGAGTTTTTATCATATTTACCAATGAAGCAATTCTCTCTCTCTTTTTTTTTTTTTGGGGTGCTGGGGATCGAACTTGGGTCCTTGCACTTGCGCAGCAGGCGGCGAAACCACTGAGCTAAATCCCTGGCCCGCAATTTTCTTGTATTCAGAATGAGCAAAAACTTTGAATTGTCTTCTGATTTAGTCCTACAGAATCATTTTGTGAAATCATTGATTTAATAGCTACCCTGAGAATTTATCTAAGAGCTTGAAAACAACACTGAGAGCCCTGAAATGTGTTTATGTTGCAGAATATTGATCTGCATGCATTGACTGGCTGGATACCAGAAAGGATTGCTATGCATTCGGATAGCCAAACTTTCAGTAAGGATAATTCTTTCAGAATGCTTTATCAACGGTAAACAGTTTTTTCTTTTTTCTTTCTCTGATAGTAAAAGAGGGTGTTTAAAATCATCATGCCATATTTAGAATAAAGATCACAGAAGCTGTCACTTTTGGTTATTAGGGATATTATCTTTAAAATAGACTTTGTGTGCTTCATAGCCTTCAGTTTTTTCAGTGATGGTTACACATAATCCAAAACATTTGAATCTAGAATGTATAATATGGAAAAATTGCTTTGCACTTAGTAAGTACTTACCAATTTGAGAGGAGGTAGGAAAAGAGAGGTCTTAGAACTTAAGCTTTAGGTGGACAATCTATATGTAGGGTTTGGAAAACTGTCCAAACAATAGTACACATTCAGTAGCAAAACTAGAGAGCTTAGTGATTTGATAAAATGATTATCTCTTTTGGGGAAGTATATTGGTATTGCACATCTTCATCCTGATTTGTAAACTAAAAATACAGCATTTGTGTTTCTTTGTCGATAGGTTTCTGCCTGAGAATTAAGTTTATGGGGTAAAAAAGGAAATATGATAATTTATCAGATATCTTGTGAATTAAAAATATTTTCTTGTTGAAAGCTCTTCAGGGGTGTTAGGAAAAGGTCATTTTTGAAAAGATGTCAGATTTGTGGGAATTTCTGTACACACCATGGGACTGAAAGATGATGTGATCTGCATTTTTAAGGATTTTCCCTTCCTTCCTTCTCTTTGGGATCATTCCAGATTTCACAAAGGGGATGTCCTCATCACTGCGTCAACCGGAATGATGACCGAGGCTGAAGGAGAGAAGTGGGGCCTGGTCCCCACACACGCCTATGCTGTGTTGGATATTAGAGAGTTCAAGGTTTTGGCTTCAGTTTTTCTCTTATTTTCTTAAGACATCACAAGAATTGCAAATGATTGTCAGACTTGAGTACTGAGAGGTCAAGGTCTAGGTGGAGTTCTTAAACCTCGGTACCTGCTGTACTAGACAGCTTGGCTCTGCTGTGGTGAATCACGAAATGAAAAGATGGGAAGCGGGAGGGCAGCGGCGGCACCATTGGCAGCGTCTTGGCGTACTGACGTGTTGACGCAGAGCAGGGTCACCACTGGGCCTCTGTCTTCGCTTTAAAAGTATGGTTGGGACAGGTACACAGCTCCCAGGCTTTCCAACTGCATTGGTGTTCGGTCAGTCACTTGGTAAGCAGTGTAGAGAGTAGGTACTGAGTAAATGTTTGAGAAAGGAGGAAGAAGAGGACCGTACCTGTGAGTAAGACACACCCCAGTGGGTGTGTGAGAGCGCCTGCTTCTCTTTCTTGGAGCCTTGGCATGCAGTCGGGCCTTTCAGACCCTTTCTCAGCCCGTGCTTGGGCTGTGGCCTTGGGATGTGTGACTGCACTGCTTTGCACGGTGTTATTTTTAACTGCAAAATGGATCAGTTGTATGGATTAGGGAAGTGCAAGTGTTGAGAGTCCTTTATAGTAGACAGAAGTGGTGCTCAGTCAGCAGTAATGGCACCCCTGTTTATTAGCCTTTTTTAAAATGTAGTACACAGAACTACAGTTAGAGCTCACTTGATGATACAATCTGAGAAATTTGTAGTTAGCTGATTCTGTTTTCATACAAACATCAGTGAGCATCTTTACACAAACCTAGATTGTTCAGCCAGGTATACATAGGCTGCATTGTCGGGGGGGGGGCGGGGGCGCACGGGGGTGTGTGTGTGTTATAGAACCCACTGCTCCGAGGGCTAGATGAGCAAAACAACAGGAGATTAACTCAAAAGAGAAAAATGATGCAGTCAACAGATGAGGTACACTTGAGATGTTTACATCTGCTGCTGGCCTAACATGGCATATTGTTTTATGATGAACTTTTCAAAAAAATAGAGGGAATATACTATAAAATGATACAATACAGTATATAAATCAGTCGCAGACATTTATTATCAGGTATGATGTACTGTACATAGTTGTATCTGCTATACTTTCCTATAGTTGGTAGCACAGTAGGTTTGTTTAAACCAGCATCACAATAAAAGAAAAAAGAGGCCGGGGATTTAGCTCAGTGGTTTCACCACTTGCTGCGCAAGCACAAGGACCTGAGTTCGATCCCCAGTACCAAATATATATATATAGTACTGAACAGTAATGACTGTTAATTAAAATATTTTGGCTGTTTGTGGCAAATTACAATTCTAAAATAAACAGAAACCTCTCTGCTTAGTTATAAACACAAATATGCACTGTTGAACATTATGGTGGCTGTGCCGTCACTAGACAAGTGGGATTTTTAACTCCATTTTAATCTTAGCAAGTGCTGTCATATATGTAGTCATTAAACATTTTTATGTGGCACATGACTATGAATTGTGAAGGCAGTAGAGACCTGCTGCAACATTTTAAAGCTGATAGTCTTAAGCCAGTTTCTCAGTTAGCTAGTCGGTATTGCACTGCAACCAAACTGAATAAAATTGTGTTTTCTTTAAAAGTGGCATTAAAATTGGGTACTCAAAGCAAAGAATATAAAAGTGAATATAGAAGTATAGGAGAAACTAATGTGACAGGTTTATGTTTTAGAATTGTAATTTACCACAAACACCAGTCAGTGTAATAAATAGGTTGTTAATGTTCAGTACTATGTATATTTGCTCTTAGAACATCCTGTGAAGTAGCTGTCGGTGAATGTGACCAATAGTGAGATAATAGCAAGTGATTTAAGTTGAGCTAATGAAACAGGCAATAGGAGAGTAGGCTTGAATTTGAAGTTACCTTGAAGATTATATTATTTATTTTATTTATTTATTAATTATATTATTTATTTTAAATAAGATTGTTCTGATTGGTGGTGCACACCTGTAATCCCAGCACTTGAGAGGCTGAGGCAGGAGGATCACCACGAGTTCAAGCCCAGTCTGGTCTACATAGTGAGTTTGAGACCATCTTGAACTGCATAGCAACATCCTGTCTCAAAACAAAAAATGAAAACCAAAAGGAAACTAAACAACACATTTATGACAATAATAGGTCTAATTTGAAGACAAAACATTAAAAAATTGCTGGATGCCAGTAATGTAAGACTGTCAAATAATAGCCTTTCTAGTTAAAAAAAATAGCATTAGTTACACAGTATCCATTCTTCAGTGATTCTGTAAAGATTGAGACATTTTTTAGAGCAGTACACATGAAATAAGTTGGTCTGGTGACAGGTTTCTTCACTGTGTCAATGATCACATTCACGCTGTGATGCTGTGAAATCTCTGACCCCAAACAGTATTCCCCATCTTGAGCAAGTTATCTCACAAGGAGTTGGCTCTAATTTTCTTTCGTTTATGTGAGGTTTTTGTATGGTCACAGTTCATCTTAAAGCTTCTTTATATGTGTTAAAATTTGAGTTATTTTTCTAGTGTTTTTTTATTCTTTTATTGAGTATGTTTGAAGAATTTCCTGGGCCTGTCATTTTTTTTTTTTTTTTTTTTTTTGTAGTAGTTGAGGTTGAGTCCAGGGCCTTTGCCTGAGCTACATTCCTCAGCCCTAGGATGCCCAGGGAGGTCTTGAACTCTTGATCCTCCTGCCTTAGCCTCCTGAGTGCTGGGATTACAGGTGGCTTGGGTTTATCATTTTTGTGAGTTCTTCTGTTCTCTGTATTTTGAAACATTTACTTAATTCTGACTTTTATTTTAAAATAGTTCCATTTCTCTCATTCAAGCATTTTAGAACCCCTTCTTTACAGACAGCCTTAGTCTTAGCCTAAAGCTACCCTCAATTTTATTTCATTTGTGACTTTCTTCATTTAACAATTTTCTTAATCTTTATTAATCTTCCATAAAAGTATTATTTTTGTCTGTCTCTTAACTTGCTTACATACTCATTTAAGTCACAGCTGTCCCCCCTTGCATCATTTTATGTCTCCTGGAGGTAATGTTCCACAGTCTTCTTTGGAGTACATCTCTGGTTCAGACTGCTGCCTTTCAGTCCAGTCCTGTCATGAGGTTTCTGAATGTATCCAAGACTTTTCCTTTGCTGATACTTAGAAATAACTGTGGGACTGGGATGTTTCTGCATGAACCAGATTATTTATATATATAAAAAAAACTCTCTAGGAATTTTTTCCATTTGCGGCCCTTTGAATTGCTTGTTTTCTTCTCAAAACAAACATATAAAAATCTATAGCCATGTGTCTTTGAATTGTCTCTGGTGGCTAGGACCTGTCTCTGAAAAGCAGAGCAGAAGTGGTAGAGTCGTGAAATGAGGGAGATTTCCTGCTCACTTAGAGCTCAGTTTTATGAAAAGAAAGGAGTAAAATATCTACTGACTGATGTGTGGTGAGGCACAGGTGGTGTAGAAAAAAATTGAGAAAATAATTACATTACTGATGCTTCTAGGGAATATCCCCTGAGAAAACTGAGTTTACCTTTATGAGGAAATCACATTTACTTCAGACCACAATTTGGTATCATTTAAAATAACAAAGAAATGCGGGTTTAAAAAAAATACCCCTCAATTAATTTGATTTAGGACATCATTATTCAATTTCCCAAGTGGACTGCTTGAAGTAAGAAATGTTCGGGGTTACCAGCTTTTAAATTTTTCTGTCAGTGTAATCAGTTTTGTAGGCACAAAGCTGGTATTTTGGAACAATTTACCATAACATTAACAATGAAGATTTCTGAAAAAGGATGATAATATTGGCATTTCAAAGAGTTTATGATCTCATTAAGACTTAAGCACTTGTACAAGTAGGAAACAATATAAGGTAGTCTTTGTTTTAAATTAGTGTATTACATATTGTCAGTACTGTAAAATTTAGAGGAGAAACAATAATTAAAAGGAAATTACGAAGAGTTTGTGTATGTTATCTCCTTTAATCTTCAAGAAAGACATCGTAATTCTCATTTTTACATATGCATACATAAGTGTGTAGAGTCTAAGTGGCCCACTGAAAGCCCACAAACTGATAAATAGAGCTGGAATTTGGTCCTATTTTATTCTGACTCCTGAGTTCATATTCTTCCTTCTTTTCCATTGCTTCAGCAGTGACTCAGATGAGAGAGAAGGTTTTCAGGAAAGGGGAATAGCATGAGCTAAAGCCTTTTGGAGCAAAATTAAAAATTATTTATGAGATTGTGAAAGAAAAAACTATATGAGAACAAAAATGATGTGATATAACAATGTTATCTTTTTTTTTTTTTAATATGTAGGGGCTGCGATTTATCCAGTTGAAAAATCCTTGGAGCCATTTACGTTGGAAGGGGAGATACAGTGAAAATGATGTAAAAAACTGGACTCCAGAGTTGCAAAAATATTTAAACTTTGATCCCCGGACAGCTCAGAAAATAGATAATGGTAAATACGTCTTTGTAATTGTAGTACCATTTGCCAAATAAATGACATGTTTTAACTAGGTGTAATGTATTTAACTGACTTAAATAATTTATTCAAATTTTTTAGATTAACAGAAAACTTAATTTTCAGGAATATTTTGGATTTCCTGGGATGATCTCTGCCAGTATTATGATGTGATTTATTTGAGCTGGAATCCAGGTCTTTTTAAAGAATCGACATG